ACATTTTGGATTATCTTTTCACTTTGTTGGTGGTTTCTCTTGCTGTGCAAAAGCTTTTTAATAAAATGAGATCTCAGTTTTTGATTCTTTGTGATAGTTTCTGTGTGATTGGGGTTTTATTTATAAAGTGTTTGTCTACACCAGTGTCTTCAAGATTTCTACCTACTTCGTTTTCTAGTAGATTGAGTGTTTCTGTTTTTAGTGTGTAGATCTTTGATCCATTTCAAATTTAGTTTAGTACATGGTGATAGACATGGGTCTTGTTTTAGTCTTCAGTATGTGGTGAGGCAGTTTTTCCAGCACCACTTATTAAAGCAGCTCTTTCTTTCAGTGAAAGTGTTTGGTGCCTTTGTTTAAGATAATGTGGCTGAGCATGTCTGAAGTCGTTTCTACAACTTCTAATCTGTTCCATTGATTTTCAGGTCTGTTTTATTTGCCAGTAGCACACTGTTTGAATCACCATAGCTCTATAGTATAATTTCAGATCAAGGATGGTAATGCTCCCTGCCTTGCCTTTGTTGCCCAGAAATGCCTTTGCTATTCTAGGTCTCTTCTGGTTCCAAATGAATTTTAAGATTGTTTTCTCTAATTCTGTGAGATATGCTATTGGAATTTTAATTGAAATTGCATTAAATCTGTGTAATGGTTTTGGAAGTATGGCCATTTTCACTGTATTGGTTCTTCCTACCCAAAAGCAAAGGTATCTTTCCATTTTCTGATAGCCTCTTCAATTTTTTTTTGATACAGGGTCTTGGTGCATAGTGTAGGCTGGCCTCCAACTTCCAGCAATCCTCCTGTCTCAGCCTCCCAAGTGCTGGGATCAGATCATAGCCATGTGTCACCACCCACACCTGGCTACAGATGTGATTTTATTTAGCACTCCCCCATACTAGGGATTGAGCCTAGAGCTTTCACACTGAGCTACATCCCCAGCCCTTTAAACAGTATGCTTTATTTCGAGACAGGGTATGGGTGAGTCACTACATTGTCTAGCCCAGGTTTGAATTTGCAGCCTTTTTCCCTCAACTTCCCTGAATATTGGGATTATAGGTATCCATCACCATGCCTAGCTTTAATTAGTTTTAAATTTGATGTGTTGTTACTTATTTTTTGACATATGGAAAACTTTCTTATCTAGATTCTTTTTTTTGAGGTAACATCTCTCTGTGTAGTTTAGGCTGTGCTTGAACTCACTATGTAACCCAGACTGGCCTTGAACAAGTGGCAATCTTCCTGTTTCAGTCTCCCAAGAAGCTGGCCTGTGTCAGTACTCCTGGATTTGCAGTGATTCTTGTTGATGCTTGCCAACCACAGAGACTGCTCCAGTGGGCACACAATGAGGACTCCTCAGGCCAGGGAGATAGCTCAGTAGAATAAGCGCTTGCCTGACAAGCGCAGAGGCCTCCTCACGGACACTGGTACTCAGTGGTGTGATTCCTACTGTACTTAGCTTAGAGCAACTTGTCTACCTGGCTAGGTGTCAAGTGAGCAAGGTCTAATCCGGAGCACATAACCTAGCAGAACTTACTTACATCTTTTTCTTCCTTGAAAAGTAGAACTCAGCCAGGCTGGGTTTATATGGTGGTACATGCCTATAAACCCAGCACTCAGCAAGCTGAGGCAAGTGGATCACCAAGAATTCGAGGTCAGCTTGGGCTACATAGTGAGTTCAAGGCCAACCTAAACTACATGGTGAGACCTTGTCTCAAGAAAAAAACGAAAGATCCAAGGAGATACTCAGTGGCACAAGTGTCTGCCTGGCAAGTGCAAGGTCCTAAGTGTGATTCCTGGTTAAAAAGAAAGAAAAGAAAAAGACAAAAAAGAAAAATGTCTAGGTTGGGTTAGGGATATAGTAGTTGGGTAACAGTGTCTGCCTAGCACACACAAGGCTCTGGGTCTGGTTCCAGGCATCAAAAGGAAAAATATTTAGGTTCACATTGTTTTTATTTCCAACCGTTAAAGGCACCACTCTCCTATTTCTGGTTTGCACAGGGGTGGGGTAGGGGGTGGAGTACTGAAGATTAAACCGGAAGCCTTTGTGCTAAGCTACACTGTCAGCCCTTTTTAAAAATCTTCAGACAGGGTCTTGCTAAATCACTAAGCTAGCTGCCTAGGCTGGGCTGGAAGTCGTGCAACACCACATCTGGCTTCTTTTGTTTTTGACATGGCTTCAGAAACTAGGTACTGAGAGGAAGCTTGGAAAATTATTGTCTGCTATCCTGTCCAGACATGAAGCTGGATTTAGAAGTGATATAAATGTGTAATTTTCAGCCCCCATTTGGTATTACTGAAAAATACCTATAAAAAGGAAAGCTCACTGTGGAGCCAAGGCTGGCCATGAACTCACAGCAGTCCACCTGCCTCCGCCTCCAGAGTGCCGGGTTCATAGGCATGCACCATCATGCCTGGCTAGATTTCTTTTTTCAGTTTTAAAGATTGAATCCAGCACCTTTGAGCACATCCCAGACCTTTTTCATTTTGAAACAGGGTCTACTTGGATTGAAAATAGCTTCTCAAGGATTCAAGGTTAAAAATTCCTATTGATGGATTAAAGAGCTTAAGTGAAGAGCACGCTGCCTATACACAATGGAGTGTATCTCTGCCATAAAGAAGGATAACTTTGAGTCATTTGCAGGACACCATACTGCTCAGTGAAATAAATCATAGAAGGTTAAATGTTGGGCCCAGGGAAATAGCTCAGTAGAAAAAGCGCTTACCTGGCAAGCACAGGGTTCTGAGTTCAATCCCCAGTACTGAAAAAAAAGAAGATTAAATGTTACATGGTTTCTTTTATATGAGAAGCTCAAAATGTAAATAATTCAAAGATCAAAATAGAGACAAGGCTGGTGAGATAGCTCAGCAGACTAAGCACCTGCTTTGGCACACTCAGGGACTAAGGTTCCATCCCTGGTCTCATATGCGACACAAGCCATGCCCGAGTCCGGATGTGGTGGCACACACCTGTAATCCCAGCACTGGGGAGGCTGAAAACAGGAGGATTACTACAAGTCCAAGCTGCATAGTGAGACCCTGTTCCAAATACATAAATGGAGAAAAAAAAAGACTATAGGAAACAGGAGGGGATTAGACCTTTTGCAGATGGGAAAGGGATTAAGGGATGCAGTGGGAGGAGGAGACAGGAAAGAAAGACTAAGATGCCATATGTGTATGCACCAGCTCCCCATGAGGAATGAATCTATTACATATTACAAACATGTACTAAAATAAGTAAACATTACTATTGATGGATGATTAGTTTGCTTCTTTTTTTTCCATTTCAAACAATGCTGTTATGAACATTCTTGTGTATGTGCCTCATTCTGGAGCAAGACTTAACTGGGTATTTATCTAGGCCTGGAGAACCAGATCCCAGGGTCCGCATGTGCTGGACTTCATGAACTAGTGTCCATTTACTCTCTAAAGTAATTATACCAATTTCCAATCTGCACTGGCAGCTGAACTGGATAAGTGGATGGATTGATTTTATAGTGGTGAGGATTGAAACCAGGATAAGCACCGCACCACTGAGCTGTGCCACTAGCTCTGGAATAAGAATTCAATTTTTTTTTTTTTTTGCGGTAACCAGGGATTGAACTCAGGACCCTGTGCTTGCCAGGCAAGTGCTTATTCTACTGAGCTGTCTCCTTGGACTCAAGAATTCTTTTTGAACTCTGGACCTCAAGCTTGTCAGGCAAATGCTGCACTGCTGAGCTGCATCCCTAGCTTTGGAATGAGAATTCTTACTGTTCTCTCTCCTCACCAACAGCTGGTGTGAAACAGTATTTTACTGGGGCTTAAATTTGACTAATGATATGTTGATCTTTTTGGCTTTTTGTTTGTTTTATACTGGGGGTCGAGTCTAAAATGACTTACATCCCCAGCCCTTCTTATGTTTTTATTTTGAGACAGTATCTGTCTTAGTTGCTTTTCACTCATTGCTGGGACAAAATACCCAACACCCCAAATGAAGGAAGGAAAGGTTTATTTAGCTCACAGTTAGTGGAGGTTTCAGTCTATACTCGCTGGCTCCAAGGCAAATGACAGCGGTTCATGGTGGCAGAAAACAAGGAAGAGCAGAGGAGGAGCAGCAGCTGCGGTGGTGTCTATCAAGCCTCTCTCTTCTTTCTATGCTAGCTGACTGTGAAGACCAGTGTGAAGACAGAAGATAGGACTTCTCCAAGGAAGAGGAGCGGGCGCAGAAGCCTTCCTTAACTCCTTTATATATAGGCTTTTTGTGCTGAGTCATTCTGGGGCGTGCCCTGTCTTGACCCAGGGTGGGACCAATTGCACCTCAGGGCCCCACTCCCAGAACTGCTAGAGCTGATTCAGCCAAGTTAATACAATGTGTCAACTACTACAGTACCTCATTAAGTAGATAAATTGTGTAGGCTGGGCTGAAGTTTGCAATCCTCCTGACTCAGCCTCTCATAGTAGGTGTGCCACCACAGTAGGTGTCTTTCTTCAGTGAAATGCCAGTTCATGGCTTTTGTCCATGTTTGTCCTTTCTGTTTCTTCATTTCATTTCATTTCATTTCATTTCATTTCATTTCATTTCATTTCATTTCATTTCATTTCATTTCTTTGTTTCTTTTCTTTCTGTGGTGCTGGAGATGGAATCCAGGGCCCCCTGTGTCTGAGGCAAGCACCCACCCTGGAGATATACCCCAGCTCTGTCAATCCTTTTTTTTGTTTTTTGGCACAAGGAATTGAACTCAGGACTTCGTGCTTGTGAGGCAGGTGCTGTGCCATTGAGCAGTATCTGTGCCGCTGAGCTATATCTCTGGCCCCTATCAATCCATTTTTAAAGAAGACTTTGTTTTGGATACAGGCAAATTCAGAGTTTTCATGGAAAATTTCTTCTTTTGCAGTGTTTGTGCCTTTTAATCTTTGTGGTGGTTTTGAGTTCAGAGAACTTTTTTTATGAAATGACTATCATAAATACAGCTTTCTTTGTGTAATATTTATCAGCTATGTCTTTTTCACCTAATTTTTCCTTTTAGCCTTACAGTGTCCTGGGTCTCTGATGGAGGAAAGGAAGGACAACTCTGGTTGCAGACCGGAAATGCCCTGCAGCCCTTACCTGCTACTTTCTTGCCCAGGTAAGAATGATACATAAGCACAGGTCTGGCCCATCAATGAGACAGACAGATTCACCTGAAAGCACCCAATGAAGTAGCAGTAAGAAGTTTAGAATCTATTTTTCTCAAAGTACAGTGGAAAAAATGGAAATACAGTTTCTTTATTTGCTCATTTGAGACAGAGAAGATTCCTAGGTTAGGAAAATGTAAATGCAAATGTAGGGTCTTTTTTTGCTTTTGTCTCTTTTTGCTTCTTATTTGAAACATGGTTTCAGTATGTAGTTCGAATGAAGATGGCTTTCCGGAACAAAGAGGCTGACCCAGGGCCTCACCTGGTTTTTATCCAGTGGGGGAGTGCCTTGAGGAGGATTGACTGAGAACTGTGGGAAGTAGGTGACTTCTGTGAGCTGAGCTAGGTGGGTGGCCTACATTTACCTCCGCCATATGCAGAGACGATATACAGAGAGAGTAATCTGCATTATACTATTATGCCATTGAGATAGCATCTAATGTTTTGGGGGGTCTGGTGCTTCAGCTTTGATGTAGTCTTTCAAGCCTCAGGAAGTCATAGCCTCTATCTCGAGGCTGGATACCAGCTGGTGGTGCGGAGCATTACCTCATCATCCTGTCTCAACCTGGCTCACATTAAAGAATAGCAGGTATAGGTTACCAGGGAAACATGCATGCCACTTTCAAAGACTATCACCAGCACCTCAGCTAGACCAATGCACATTGTTTAAGGCCAATTGAGGGATAAACAGAATTCCTAGCCAGCTCTGTGCATAACAATATGAGGAAATAGGGTCAGGCTCAGTCAAAATGGAGACAGATGCTCTTCTTTCCAGGAGAGCTGCTCAGGTGGTCTTCCACACCTGGCAAGCACAAGGGCCTGAGTTCAATCCCCAGTTCTGCCAAAAAAAAGCTAGAGTTTTAGCATGCTGGTGCATGCCTGTAATCTCAGCACTCAGGAGGCTGAGGCAGGAGGATCACCATAGTTTGAGGCCAGCCTGGACTACATAGTGAATTTAGGGCCAGTCTGTACTACATAGCAAGATGCTGTCTCAAACAAAGAAACAAAAGAAAGAAAGAAACAAATGAACATAGAACTAAAAATCAAATCAAATCAATGAATCTAGATTTTTTTATTCTATTGAGAAATAGCAATGAGACCATTTCAAAACAGGTTAGTAGGACAGTTATGATAATTAATACATTGCATATTGTTGTCTTTGTAGTAGTTATTCATAGCACGAGATGCAGACATGATATCTTGTCTAAACACTCTTAGTTCAAAACTTTCTTCTCATTGAACTATCTGCATATACAAAGTAGTTAGCATGAATCTAGATTTTTAATGTGATAAGAAAGTCTATTGGTGGGGGGAAATCACTTAGGCTGCCTCTGTGGTGTCCCCTGATTCTAGCAGTGGTCACTTTAAAGGGAGGCTGGGGTGGGACACAGTAGATGGGGTACCACTGTAGCTATTTGGACGCCACCATTCCTTGCCACGTGGACTTTTGGGAAAGTTACTTGATGTTCCTAATCCATGATTTCCTAATCTACAAAATGGAAATAATGGGGTCTAGACAGTCCATGGGGCCTTGAGGTGGTCTCCCTTTCAGATCTGCTTTCTGTGGTAGAACCGCTGCTGAGATGCAGATTTTGGTACAAACCCTGGGGAGGAAGGGCATCTGCTCCAGGCTGAACCCTTGGACACTCTAAAAAATGTAAAGACCAAGATCCAGGCTTAAGGGAGGAATTTCTCCTGCTTGGTAAAGGCTGGTGTTTGCTGGTAAGAACTGGAAGATGGATGCACTTTGTCTGATTACAACATTCAAAAGGAGTCTACCTTTCATCTTATGTTGAGGCTCCCTGGTGGCTCTAAGGAAAGGAAGAATTCTTACACTAGTCTGAGGAAGAAGAGCAAGCAGAAGAGAAAGAAGTTTACGGTGGCTGTCCTGAAATACTCTAAGGAGGATGAAAATGGCAACAATTGTCTTCTTTGTTGGGAGTGTCCTTTAAATGCATGTAGTACTGGAGTTTTGTTGTTTTTGTCTTGTTTTGAGACAGGGTCTTACTATGCATGCCAGGCTGGCCTTGAGCTCAGTATGTATACCAAGCTGGTCTTCAACTTGCTGCAATCTTCCTACCTCAGCCTCCCAAGGCCTAGGATTACAGGCGTGCGCCACTATGCCTGGTCAAGTGCTGGAGTTTTTATGGCTAGGCACTTTGGCAGACATTATTGTGGCAAGTGTTGTCGCATTTACTGCTTCCACAAACCAGAAGACTTGTAATTATATATGAGTCAATAAAAACTTAAGCCAAAACAAGATGGAAATAATGGAAATATTGACTTCCTGTGGGTTCTGTGAGGATTAAATAAGATCATCGAGCAGTAAGTGTGCAATAAACAGTACTATTTCTAGTACTAGTCCTTTATTTGTTCAACATATCTTTATTATGTGTTTTCAACATATTGGGCACTGCGCTAAGTATTGAACATATGGCAGCTATCACTGCTGCAATTTGTTCTATGATTATGATTATGATTAATTATTATTATTACTATGATGGTGATGATGATGATGATGATGATGATGGAGACAGGGTCCAGGAGGTATTAAACTCATTATATAGCCCAGGCTTGCCTTGTACTTGCAGTGCTTCTCCTGCCTCAGCCTCCCTAGCAGTGCAACCACAGGTATGTGCCATCATGCTGCTTTTATCCTTATTATTAAGGATGTATCAGGCACTGTGCAAGGTAGTGGAGCCACAGCAATAAATAAGACAGAACCTTCAAGACTCTGGGTAGACTTTTTGGTTCTACTAACAGGACTCTCTTCTGTATTATGAGTTCTTTGGACCTCTTTGTCACAGTCTTTTCCTTGGACAGGGGTGAAGATCAGTGGTAGAGCACTTGCTTAGCATGCATGAGGCCTTAGATTAAATCCTTAGCACCAAAAGCAAAACCAACAAAAACCAACAAGCAAGCAAAAAATATTTTTTGTTAATGAAAGAGATCTCCATCAGATGCTTTTCTGCTCTGTGCCAGGTTCTGGCTGCTTGAAAGGCAGAAGGAGGGCCATCAAGACACAGCTTTTGCCCTGTGTGGGCAGGTTTAGAATGAGCCACTTGTGATGGGAGATTTTGGCCTTTTCTTTGCAAAATAACCTTGGGTACTGGACAGAAAGTGCACGGAAGTACTGAGGTAGGGCTTGTCTAGCACAGGTAAGGCCCTGGCTTTGGTCCCTAGGACTGTGAGAGAAATGAACAAAAATAAAACAAGAGTGAAGTGCCAGCAGAATTTGTTTTTTCCATGACAGGAGGAAAAAGAATAGAAGCAATGTAGAGCAAAACCATCCACCTGGTTTTGATGCTGGGTCCAGGAGACAGCAAGAGCCTTGTCTTTTCCCTGTGCCCAGGGAGAAGAGGGAACTCACAAGAGTTTGCTCTGGGTGAGGTGGGCCAGAGGGAAAAAGAGGACCTGCATGTGTCAGCCTCATGTTGTCTCTCTAGAGTAAGAAACTAAAAGAGGAAGTAAAATTTGAAAGGTACAATAAATATAGTGAAAGGGAGAGAAACTTTCAAAAGGAAAGAACTGGGATGAGGGAAAGGAGGAAAGAAAGTAAGATGGAAGGCAAAAATATATATACAAGATAGCTAAGATAATTATACTACTAATTTTTATTTAAAAGAACATTTAATGCTTAATTCTGTTTTGCCAAATTTTCCTTTTTTTTTTTTGTACCAGGGATCAAACTCGGGACCTTGCACTTGCCAGGCAGGCACTTATGCTGCTGAGCTATATCCCTGACCATGTTTTGATCAATTTTGGATGCCTGTATCTGGTAATCTGAACATTTGCTTTGAAGATAAGAAGATGCAATATAATATTCATTGTTGGTTTCTTATCATCTTGATTTGAAATTCTGTATAATTTTTAATGTTTTTAAAGTTTTTATTCTCTTTTTAAAAAAGAACAGGGCCGGGGAGATGGCTCAGTAGAATAAGTGCTTGCCTGGCAAGCACAAGGGCCTGAGTTCAATCCCTGGTTCTGCCATAAAAAAAAAATAAAAAAGAACAAATACTCATAAAAAATGAAGAATTAAAAAAAAACCTTGGAAATGTAGCCCTGGGTTCAATTCCCCAGTACTGAAACAAATGTTTGTAATATTATTGGAGTTCCAAAATAAGCACTTCAAATTATTAGAGAAATAGTGTAAGGCAAACAAGATTAAGTGGTAATTGTCAGTTAGGGACTTAACAAAAAGCAACTTAGAGAAAGTAAAAAGTAATAATCATTACAAGAGTCAGGAAATGCCTTAAGGTTGTATTCATACCTCGAAAATGTATGAATGGATGTTGAGACCCCATGAAGCAGGATGGAGGAAGAAACCAGAAAGTTCAGTTTCTCCAGTCTGTAAAATTGGCCGGGAAGCCCCTCTGTGACAGGGACTATTTCATTCACTCTTTGTGTGTGTGTGCGTGTGCGTGTATGTGTGTGTGTGTGTGTGTGTGCAGGGTCTCACATGCAGCTCGGACTCGGAGTGCTCCTCCTATTTTTGCCCTTCTCAGCGCTGGGATCACAGGCGCACGCCACCACACCAGGACTTGGTCCCTGGCTCAGTGTGCCTGGGGGCAGGGCCAGCATGGCATGTGGTGCCAGTAATCGAATCCCAGCCCCTGTGCTTGCTGAGGTAGGTGCTTAGTCTGCTGAGCTATCTTGCTGGCCCACATTCACTCTTTTTTTTTTTTTTCAGAACCGGGGTTTGAACTCAGGCCCTTGCACTTGCCAGGGAAGCGCTTATTTCACTGAGCCATCTCCTCGCCACCCCCATTCACTCTTTATCTGTCTATTATCTAGTAGCATTGAGGATTGAACCCAGGATCATTGTCAGTTCTTTTGAAATGTCTCACCGATTAAAAATATTCCAGGTCCTTCTTGCTCTGTGCAAAGAATTGGACAGACAAACCGAAAATGATGCCAAAGGTTTGTTTGGGATGAAGGTATAAGGGAAAAACTGACTCTGCAAAGTGAACTTGGATCAAACAAAGAGAAAAGAATGAAAACAAAAATAAAAGCGCACTCAAGACACAGAGCAGGCTACTTGGAGGAGTCAAGATAGTGAGCTTCTCCTGCCATCTGTGCCCTTATATGTTGTCCACATCTGGTTGGAGCCTGAGAGAGGTTCCATGTATGGGTTCTAGGGAATGATTTGGTGGAGCCTTGGGAATTATTTGGCACCATCTTGGATTCTTGTAATTGGTAGCTTCTGGCTATTTCCCCAGCCAGTTTTGCCATACCCTATCTCCTGTGTTAGGACCTCATACATACAAGCAAGCATTCTACCATCGAGCTACATCCTGATTCAGGCTCTGGTAGCTAGGATTTCTCAGCCTCAGTAGGCATGTTTCAAAATGGCACATGGAAGAGATGGTGTGGGAACTGTTTACTAAGGGACACAGTTCATGTTAACAGATAGGAAATTCCCTCAGGAAGGTGTGGCAGGGGTCAGAGCCATCCTCAGGGCAGGAGGTTACCTGCCCCAGAGCATGAAAATCACTTCTCTGTTGGTTAGAAAACTCACTTCCGCTGAGGACACAAAGCACAAGATTCCTCTGGGTTGGTGGTGATGTTGACACAGCCACCAAAAGATGGCCTCCTGGACCATGGACACAATGATACCTGCCTTGAATTAAAGGGACACAGTTTAATTAGTCAGGCATCTAGCATGTGGTAATGTGAGACTGAAGAACAAATAAAACATTTTTATTCAGGTTTTTGAAAAATTTTCTTAGCTTCTTCTGAAGGGTTATGGACCTAGAAAATTCCATTTGAGTCATTCTGTTTCTTTTTCTTAAAGGGAAGAACTTGCTTAAGTGTCACCTCTTCTCTGTGGCTTGAGGACCATATTCTACCCTCCTTATCAAGCCCCCTCCCATTCTCTCTCTCTCTCTCTCTCTCTCTCTCTCTCTCTCTCTCCCTCTCCTTTCTGACAGAGGCCCACTCTGTAGTTCAGGCTGATCTCAAACTCATGATGATCCTCCTACCTCACTCTCTGGAGTGCTGGGACTACATGCACCACCATGTCCAGCCCTGGTGAATTCCTAGGTAAGGAATTCCTGGATGTTAGGAAAATTCCCTGTTTTGTCTTTGTTTTGTTTGTATTTACCTGCTGAATGGTCCTTTTAATCTTTTAAAATTGTGAGGCATAACACAGAAATGCATGAAGCACAAAGAACTTAGCAACATGTTCTAAATTATGCAAATGCTTAAGAAGCAAGACTTTTCACATATAAAATAGATTTCTGCCTTAAAACATTAGCAGCTCCACTCACTGGGCACAGCCTCCCACACCACGGTGCCAAGAGCTGCCAGCTGCTAGGATTATAGATATGCACCACCACACCCAGTGCTAAGTGGCTTCCCTGTTGGCTGAGCTTAGTCAGTAGGTGATCTTTATGGCTAACACGTGGCCCTTACAGAAAGCACTAATAGAAGATATATTCCAAAACCTACACTATATTTTTTTTTTATTCTGGCTTTCAACTGAATTAGTATCTTGTGGGCTTTGAACTATTTTCTGCCAAACATCTCAGCTCTGTTCAGATCATTAATTGGGTCTGTACATGTCAGTCAAAACTGAATTGTGTTTAGGGGAAAATACTTTTTATTGTTTTCTCTTTTCCCTCCCAAATTCATTCAGGGATCCTTTTGTATTATGCATTTAATTCAGGAAATAAGCTAACTGCTTTTGAGACATGGTCTCCCTATGTAGTCCAGGCTGGCCATGAGCTCACTATATAGGCTAGGCTGGTCTTGAACTCACAGCAATCCTCCTGCCTCAGCCTCCTGAGTGCTGGGATTATAGATGTGTGCCACCACTCCTAGCAGGAAATAAACTAATTTTTTCAATGGAGGAAAGGTTTATTTAGCTCACAGTTCATGGAGATTTTAGTCCATAGTTGGCTAGTTCCAAGGCATGGTGGCATGGCAGAGGGGGAACAGCAAAAGCAACAGGGGACCTTAAGAGAGTTTTTGTGCCCCTTTTGTAATTTATCCAGGCTAGCTGGACTAGGGTGGTGCTGAAGCAATCAGTGATTTACTAATCCTACACCTTAAATGCAGCATTACACATTGTGGATCCAGCCACCTCTGAAGAAGCTCCATCTAAGACAACATGAGACTTTGGGGAGGACATCTAGACACA